TTATTCCTTCCTACGTAACATACAGTCATTGGCCATATGATTAGCCCCGTTGCAATAGTGACAATCAACTCCCAAATCGCCCTTAAGCTTTTTCTCTTTCTTCAACTCCTCACCCTTCGCTTCTTTCTTCTCAAACTTCTTTTTATCACTCACCATGTTTGTCTTTTATTCCTTCTTACGTAAGTGTTTGTTTCGGGAAGGTTGTTAAGGAAGATCGGTAATGGCGACCGGTGGTTGATAGTCAGTGCTCTAAGTGAGGGAGAATTGGAGAATTCTCCGGAAAAATCGATCAGTATGAAGGGTCGTTTAGCTGCATGGGATTCAGTAGTGTCTCGGTCAGCCAAAAGCGTGAGCTGGTATGAGTAAGTGGCAGACGTGCGGTGTGGGATACAGACCAAGAGCGATTGATTGTGGAAGGCCTAGGATCGGGCCGGGACAGAGTATATGGGATGGAGGTAGAGTTCGGAACCCCTGGAGGGCTAGAACAGTATGCATGGGAGGAGTTTCCCGAAGGAGTAACTCGGAATGTTGATTGCTAGTCGAGCGGTCCGGATAGAATGAAGGCCAGTAGGCGTACCAGTCAGGTCGAAGGCTCGGGGAACGGTCCAGCCAGACTGAAGGCCCTGGAGGGCGGTCCAGGTCTGTTGAAGGTTATGAGAGTGGTCCAGTTTGGCTGAAGGCCTGGTAAGGCGGTCCAGTCATGCTGAAGACTCTGCATGTGTCGTTAGATCAGTGCGAGGAAATGGATTGAGTATGTCGCGATATATTAGCGTTGCAAGGTCTGGCCCCGGATATTCATCACGATCAGTGGAGGTAGTGCATGGACTTGAGATCTTTCGCGAGTGGATTCAGAGTATGTATGATGATTGGGATAGCGATTATGCCACAAGGAAATGATGTAGTGTTGGGTGAGCACCGTGGCGCTTGTGGTAGTGTCAAGACAGCCAAGTGGATCTCCTTGGTAAGGAAAAAAGAAAGGAATGTAGCTCCGAGAGGGAGTATAAGTTCACAGAAGTGAAATCCATAGTGCGAAGTTATGACTTAGGTGTTTCAATTATGGTTATTGCGCAGAGTGTGCGGCAGTGATATGGAATCACATCAGGTTTGGATGTTTGCCGAGGTCACGGAAGGAAATTCCGAGGGTGTAAAGTCAAGAGACTCATAAGAGATGCAGGGATGGAGTTTTGGATTCCCAGCTTGATTTTGGTTAAGGAATTGTGTACGTAGTGGTAATTCATCCTGGGGGATGTTTGGAGGAATTGTTAGTGTATCGGGTTTTCCCAACTCGAGGATGCTAGAGCCCGTTCAGCATGGGGTAAGAGATTGCGGAGGGGAAACTCATGAGAGTTGCTATGAGATCGAGGGATGCGTCATCCTGTCAGCATGGAATGGGTAAAGTGAATTCAGACTGGGATTCTGGTGGTTCAGGGATTATCCCTGGCTCGCATGAGTCAAATGATTGTTGTGAATTGGAGCGAGCGAAGTATCAGGTAGTGATACTCGGTGGTTAGATGTGGTTATCAAAGTATGAGGCCGGTGGCCAGCTGAAGTGGTGGTCTGGACACCGCAAGAGAGAAATTTGGGTTCGGGTTTCGATGGCAGTGTTTTGAGGAATCTGGTCTGGTTAAGGCCAGGAAGTGCATTGCGGAAGTAGTTCTGGAGTTGTGTTGCCGCAGGCTTCGAGGACGAAGCCTAATGTAAGTGGGGGAGAATTGTAACATCCCGAGTCCAGGAGTGCAAGTTCGGGGTACGAAGTGTAAATTTGAAGGGCAACTCGGCGAGTCCATGGGAGGACTCGGCGAGTAGGGTCGCGACTCAGGTCGCATGTTAAGTGGCCAACTCGGCGAGTCCAAGGCTGGACTCGGCAAGTAGGCGCTGTGTGAAGAAAACCCTAAATTTAGGGGATGAGCCCTATATAAAGGACATTATACCCTCTCCCCAGCCTCCTTGATCTCCCTTGAAGTCCGGAAACCCTAAATACGCGTTTGTGAAGGTTTTGAGTGCATTTGAGCCTTGGAGAAGAAAGTTGGAAGAAGATCTTGGTGAGTTAGGAGGCTTGGAGCAAGGGGCTTTGCTTAGATTCGGATTCCTTGCTGTTGGGGGCTTCATTTTGAGGTAATATCTCGTTCTTGGGCTGTGTTCTTCTAGATTCATCATTTTCGGGTTGTGTGGGAAGCTTAGATTGTGGTATCTTGAGTTTGAAGGATAGATCTGAGGTTGCTACCTCAGATCTAAAGTGGAGGTGGTTTAGAGTGCATTAAAGTCCCTATTATTGAGTGATTGGTGAAGCTATCTTGTCCCAAACCCTAGCCCTAGAGTGTAAATGCCTAGATCTCTTTGGATTCACGTAAAGTTTGCCACTTTACGTGATGGATGGGTTGTATAAGGGTAGATCTATGATTTGGATCATCTGCATGGCCTAGAAAGCTTCTGCATGGGTTAAGATCTAGAGGCACTCGGCAAGTCACAAAGGTGTACTCGACGAGTTGCTTGAAGATGGACTGGAACTCGGCGAGTTAGAAGAACAACTCGGCGAGTAGGTTGAAGATAGCCTCGGACTCGGCGAGACTGTTCTTGGACTCGGCGAGTCTGGTCGTGAGATCCTAATATTCTTCTGTTTGAGTCATGAATCGGCGAGTTAAGGGAGGACTCGGTGATTTGAGTGCGAGGGGACTCAGAGTTACGAGACTCGGCGAGTCTCGGGGTGACTCGACGAGTCATTGGGTTGACTCGTCGAGTAGAGTCAGTCAGGAGGTTGACTTTGACCTTGACATTGACCAAGGGTTGACCAGTTGACTTCCAGGGGTAATTTGGTAATTATTGGTATTTATTGAAATCAGTCTTTTGGGTATTAACAGTCGTGGAGTTTGGGTCGGAGGTTGCAGCAGCGTGATCTTATCCTTTTCAGTCAGCAGTTGCAAGGTGAGTTATCCTCACTATATCGACAGGGTCTAAGGCACCAAGTTCGGCCCCTTATCGGATTGAGATCCGGGTATTTGTTGTTATGTTATTGCTTTGATATGTCTGCATCCTGGTAGCTAGGATGATATATGTTAGAGACCTGGTTAAGGTCGGTTTCCTGATATGTAGGGTGATGCTATGCTAGTGACCGGTTAGGTCGGTATCCAGGTTAGGATGATGATATGTTATGTGATCTGTTGATCGGCTTTTTGATTGTGAACTCTTATATGATTGTATGTTTATATGCACATGGTTGTTTGGACTGGAGTTGGGTTGAGGCGGGTCCTGCTTTGTGCTGTAGGCCAAGTACCCAGGGCAGACCAGTTTTTCCGAAGGCCCAGCGAGCGGTCTGGATAGGCTGTTGTCCCCACGAGGGCGGACCAGACGTGCCGAGGCTCAGAGAGTGGACCAGGCTGATTGAAGGCCCGATGCGGGTGGACCAGTCATACTGTAAACTCAGAGAGTGGACCAGGTGGGTTGAAGGCCCGGTGCGGGCGGACCAACCACACTGCAGACTCGAGGGACATGACTGGACTCGGAGGGTGGACCAGGTGGACTGAAGGCCCGACACGGCGGACCAGTCACACAGTAGACCCGATATGCATGGTTGTTTTGTGATTCGATATGATATAGCATGTTATGTGTATCGTATATGTGGTTGGTATTTTGGGGGTATCTCACTAAGCTTTCGGGCTTACAGTTGTGGTTTAATGTTTTTCAGGTTCTTCAGGAGACTGTGGCAAGGCAAAGGCATGATCATACCGCTCCTCGTGTTTATGTTTTATGATATGGATCTGGGAATACTCTGATAATAAATGTATTGAAAACCTTTTTGTAATAACATTATTAAAATGGGTTGTTTTTGAAAAGTTTAAATTTTGTTGAAATTTTTCGTCGTTACAGATCAGGTCAATTCTTTTTTAAATCTCTATACGTGCAATTCCCTCGATGCCAGAAGATGATTTCATATTTTTTTTGTACATAATTCTTGATATAAGTTCTTATATTTTTTATCTTCTTGCAGACCCTCAGAATAATTTTTTGGTTGTGCAAACCAAAGGGAATGATGACCTTGGGTTGTACCAAGTCTGAAACCAATTGGATTTATTTTTTGTCCCATTTTCCCCCATTACTATACATATCATAATACGGCATAGTTGTATGTTTTTTTTTGATTTAGGTTTTTGTGACCATGTAATAGAGTCGGTATCTATATATTCATCTAAGGATATATTTTTCATTACAATAGTTATATGGCAGGTAGGCTTTTGTATCGCAAAACTAAGCTCTCGAGCGCGTGGTTTTAATCTCTTCACAATAGTACCTTCATTGACTTCAACTTTACTAATGACTAAATTTACTTCATTCGAACCCATATTGAAACTAGCACTTGCTGCTGCAGAATAAAGTAATTTAAAAATTGGATAACATGCTCGATAAGGCATGAGTTCTAATATCATAAGTGTTTCTTCGTAGAAACGCCCACGAATTTGATCAATTACCCTTTGCGCTTTGTGAGCGGACATAGATATATGTTGACCTAAAGCGTATATTTATGTTGTTCTCTTATTTAACATAAAGTTCGTCTCCTACTAATCAATGATAAATATCTATATATATATATATATATATATATATATATATATATATATATATATATATATATATATATATATATATTATTATTATACATAAACAAACGTTTTTAACAACGCGATCTATTATCGCTTTTTGCATGGCCTCGTAAATGTAAAGTAGGTGCAAATTCTCCCAATTTGTGTCCTACCATACGATCTCTTATATAAATAGGTAAATGTTCTTTTCCATTATGGATAGCAATAGTATGGCCGACCATTATGGGTATAATGGTAGATGCCCGGGACCATGTTATTGTTATTTCTTTTTCTGCTTTTGTGTTAAGCTTATTTATTTATTTTAATAAATTATTCTCTACAAATGGATTTTTTTAGTGAACGTGTCACAGCTTCCTCCTATTTTTTTGTTTTGTAAAGATGAAGAAATAAATTCTATTTTCTCTCCTATTTACTACGGCGACGAAGAATCAAATTATCACTATATTTATTCCTTTTTCTACTTCTTTTTCCAAGTGCAGGATAACCCCAAGGGGTTGTGGGTTGTTTTCTACCAATTAGGTCCCTCCCTTCACCACCCCCATGTGGGTCTACAGGGTTCATAACTACTCCTCTTACTACAGGGCGCTTACCTAGCCAACGCTTAGATCCGGCTCTACCCAAACTTTTTTGGTTCACCCCAACATTCCCCACTTGTCCGACTGTTGCTGAGCAGTTTTTGGATATCAAACAGACCTCCCCAGAAGGTAATTTTAATGTGCCTGATTTCCCTTCTTTTGCAATCAGTTTCTCTACAACACCCGCTTCTTTAGCTAATCGTCCACCCTTTCCAAGTGTGATTTCTATGTTATGTATGCTCGTGCCTAAGGGCATATCGGTTGAAGTAGATTCTTCTTTCTTATCAATCAAAACCGCTTCCCAAACTGTACAAGCTTCTTCCAAAGCATACGGTTTTCTGGACGTATATGGTGATATCTATACAGATGGATCTTATATATATGGTATAATGAAGTACCACATGGGTGGATATATAGGAATCAAAATCTGCTGAATCACTCATGTTATGATCTTATACATCCTAGGTCTTCCCGTTCCATCATCTGTCTTATGTTCTTCATGTAGCATTCAGACTGGATGACTATGAAATTACGTTGACACTTCCACATATTATGCGTAACGTAGGAGACATCTGTATTTTTCCCCCAGGAATCTTTAGAATTACCATTGCTTAGCTTTCAATTCGCCTCTGACCATCAAATGAAATGTGAATAATCTGTCCTCTTCTCTTTGAAAGAAGGAGCGCTTCCGGTTCTGTCGGTGCTTGAAACAATTTTGTCTTCTCCATATTACTATATCTTTATAGTCAATAATTTTATATGAGGAACTACTGAACTCAATCACTTGTTGTCGTTACTCTTTAGTTTTTTGTTGAGGTCTATCTTGTAAAGGTACTAAAATTGGATCAGTGATTGATTTCTAGGTTTCATCATAAACCTAATTGCTTACTTCCAATTATGTAAATCAATAGTTCAAACTGCACTCAAAGGTAGGGCCTTTCTTATTTTTATAGGAACTTTTGTACCGAAAACAATGGTATCTCCAATTATAGCCCCCCTGGGATGTAAAATACATCTCTTCTCACCATCGCTATAGTGTATGAGACAAATGTATGCATTTCGATTTCGGTCGTATTCTATGGTTATGATTCTACCATATATGTCTTTTTCATTCCGTCAAAAATCTAGTTTACGTTATAGACGCTTATGACCTCCCCCTCTATGCCCTGCGGTAATGATTCCTCTGGCATTACGACCTTTACCACAATGATGCTGTCCATAGATCAAATTATTTCGTGGATTGGATTTCACTTTACTATCTACGGCTCCATTGCGTGTTCTCTAGGTAGAAGTTTTGTATGAATCTATCGCCATGCTATTAAGTATTTTGATTTAAGTTCTTTTCTTTCTAAGAGGTGGAATAGAATAACCTGGTTGAAGCGTAATGATCATACGTTTGTAATGCATTGTCTGTCCCATAATGGGTCTCATTCTTCTAGCCTTTCCCCGAAGTCGATGACTATTCATCGTGATTACCTTGACACCAAAGAAGAGTTCGACCCAATGCTTTATTTCTGTCGTAGTTGATCCTAATTCTACATTAGAAGTATATTGATTTTTCCCCAATAACTGAATACTTTTGTCCGTAAATACGGCATACCTGATTCCATCTATAAATCTATTTGATTCCCTATGAGTTCTAGTCTCAATAAGACTACTAATTCTTACTATTTATATCGTATGATAAGAATATACCACATCAATTCATTATGTATGGATGATGAGATTTCATTGATACAGAGCTAATTCCAATAGACATATTGAAGGGTCCCATTGGTGTGCATCCAGTAGGAATTGAACCTAAAAATTCACCAATTATGAGTTGGGTGCCTTAACCATTCATCCATGGATGCTTAGTGGGTCATAGTGAATGACCGGATTCCAATTCAAATGGAATCTTTCAACTAAAGCAATGAGATGCTTAAATGGAATTCTTTTAGTTCTAATAAATCAGGAGGAATTGAAGGACAGGACATGAATTTAAGTCCTGGATTTTAGAATTGAGAGAGATATTGAGAGAGATCAAGAATTCTCACTATTTCTTAGATTCCTTGACCCAATTCAATTCAGTGGGATCTTTCTTTCACATTTTGTTCCACCAAGAACGTTTTATAAAACTTTTTGACTCCCGAATTTTGAGTATCCTACTTTCACAGAATTCACAGGGTTCAACAAGCAATCGATATTTCACGATCAAGGGTGTAATACTCTTTGGAGTAGCGGTCCTTATATATCGTCTTAACAATCAAAATATGTTCGAAAGAAAAAATCTCTATTTGATAGCGCTTCTTCCTATACCTAAGAATTCCATTGGACCCAGAAATGATACATTGGAAGAATCCGTTGGGTCTTCCAATATCAATAAGTTGAGTGTTTCGCTCCTGTATCTTCCAAAAGGAAAAAAGATCTATGAGAGTTCTTTCCTGAATCCGAAAGAGTGTACTTGGGTTCTCCCTGTAACGCCCGCGTTTCTAAGCATCCAAATTAAATTGTGAGATAAGCCCGATATCTTTGCACAAGATGTAGTGGTTGAGACGAGGTTTCTGAAAATATAAAGAATGCTGAAATCCGAGTTATAATGAAAACGTTATGACCTGTCGAAGTTTCGCGACAAAACCGGTGTGGCACAGCGTGACGTAAATAGTGAATTTACGAAGAAGTGATGTTTAGCCTTAGTGATCAACACGAAAGACATAGATAATGTTGAACCGACAGCGTGCATAAAAAGAACGTCTAAATTTGACTTCGTATGAGGAAGTTATGATTTTTCAAAGTTTCAGCTTAGCAGTAGACAACCCAAAAGTTCGAATTGAGATCGAGCGAGTTTTAGCCAAAACTTTCTAAACGAGAATCGAAGATCTCGTCGATAGTAGTGCAACGACAGAAAGATGGACGAAAACGGACGTCGGATGAAGAAGTTATGAATTTATAACGGAGTTTTGCTGTCCCGGCCTACTAAAAATAAATAATAAAAAATAAAGTCAAAATTAGTGAACGGAGTCTAAATGAAAGTTGTAGAGCATAATCTCACCTACGCGTGGATATAAAGAATGTCAAAAATGAAGCTCGTATGTGAAGGTTATGATTTTTTGAAGATCGTGGCATGCATACCAAAGCTTATCCGAAGCGTACACCCAGCGTAACCAAGATTACGCCCAGCGTACTTGGAAATTACGCCCAACCTAATCCCAGACCCAACAGCCTATAAATAGAACCCAAGATCAGCCATTTTCCTTGTCTTTTTTCTTCCTTTCTCTCTAAGTTTTGCATCGTTTTGCATGCCAATTATATCCCGAAGTCCTGGTATCATTCCCGAGCCTCGAAGTATGTTCCGAAGTCCCGAGGAGCGTTATTCCTGAGCTGAAGCCCTGCCCGCGAGGAGCCCAGTTTTTGTGAAGATCTCCCAGATCTAGCGAAGAATATTACTTTTACAAGTTGTAGTGCTGTCCGATCATCTTCTGATCAAGTGAGTGTATAGTCACTTTCATCTTACACATAGATATGAAGTATTTTATAAAATACATGCTATGTGTATATATATTGTTGTTTATACGTGTGATGGTGTGGTTACTTTCTTCTAACACATAAACATGAAGCATTTGCTTTGAAATATGTGTTATGTGTTTATACATTATTTGTTTATTTGAAATAAATGTTGAATAAATTTTTTATACAAATTTTAAACCATATATGTATTTTTATCTACATAAGTTTTGGGTAAAGCATGGGTAGATAGTTGATGTGCGTTAAAATGAATAGAGGCCTCGATGTTGTTGTTTCTGATTTAGTCATCTAACAGAGTTTAGATGACGACCACAAACTTTTCTAGACAGTCATGTGGAAAACTAGCAGGCTCGCCACCTGTAGGTGTTAATGAACTTGGCTGTTCATTCGTTGTACTCCATCCCCCACCCCCCATGGTTGCCTTATTTGACATATATTGCTGGGAAACCCCCGAAGCATGTGTTGTCGCCCGATGAAATATTCTTAGATTAGGTCCCTTGAGAAAAGTGTTTAGGTACGTAAAGTGAGGATAACAGGAATGTGTAATTGGGTTTTTGTTGGTTGATGAAATTAATATAATTATTTATTGTGGGTTGAAAACCCTATATGTTCACCAGACTCCCAAGCCTGACCCACTCAGTTACTTTGTATTAGAGGATGTGGCACGAGGGCATAAGATGGATCAATCATCAAGTTGTTTTGTTTACAAGTCTGTATATATGTATATATTTGTTGAATGACTTGTAATGTTATCGTTTATGCTTTATGGTCTGTATCGAAACATGACATCCCGATTTTTGATTATGAAATGAAATTATATTTCTTCATGAAATGTTTTGATAAAAATCTATTTTATCACGTATTGTTTTTGGGAACAAATTCCGCATCTCTCTTAAGAATCAAAAGGATTTACTCTGAAAATTTTTAAAAAGCATAAATGAAACCAGTATTTTCTGGCCGAGATTTTGGGGATGTCACAGTTGGTATCAGAATATTAGTTTAAGTGAACTAGGAATTTGACGGATTTCTAGACTTAAACTTAGAATGCTAAGTGAAATTGTGAGATGTGTGTCTGTTATATTTTAGACACGAGCACTAGTTTATCTTAGGAAAATTTCCTAAAATGCTTTTATGTGCTAAATGTTATTTGTTTGCCATATATGATATTATTTGTTCGGATCTATCGTTTGTTGCCAACTGGATCTGGAAAACTTATGTGTTTAGGATTCTAAGTGTATGTATATGATATTAAAACTAGCATGTAATCGTTTCGGAGTAATAAGGATGATTTCAATATCTATTGTGAATGAGATAATAAGGATGATTTCAATATCTAATTTCATCTTTTTCAGTGTATAGATCAAAAATGGTGAGAACGAGAAGTGCAGTTGGAAACGCTGACCAAAACATGAATCAGTCGCCTGTAGTCGAGCAAGCACCTACGATTGAGCAAATACCTATCGTAGCAGCAGAACCAGAGCCAATGACAATGGCAGGAGTTCAATTGATGATTCAGGCAATGTTGGATCGTCAGATGGATGAAACCAGACGTCTGATTAGGCAGAATCGTGAAGAATCGTCAATTCGAGTTGAAGATCCTGAAGTAAATGGAGGGCAGTCCGAAGGAGAAAACCTCAGTGGGATAATTGGTCAAGAGAACCCACCTGTTAATAGACACAATAACCAAGACGGATTGGGGTGAAAGTATAAGGACTTTTTAACTTGCAAGTCGTCGACTTTTACTAGAAAGGAGGACCCGATCGGAGTAATGGATTGGATCTCCGAAATGGAGTTGGCCTTCATGACTTGTGGCTGTAGAGGAAAGTTGCAGACCACGTTCGCGGTACCTCAGTTCAGAGGTGGAGCCGTTCGTTGGTGGAACACTCTGGGGAAGACCCTAAGCCCTAATGAACCACTGCAATTGACTTGGGCCGAATTCTTGGTGCAGTTTAAGCGCAAGTTCTGCTCAGCCCAAAATCTGTTGGAATTGGAAAACAAGTTTCT